CCTTTCAGCGAAACTCTGAAAGACAAGAGCCAATATCAAATTGCCTGCAATATACGGCTGCTGTCGAATTTCATCAAAAAGTAGAGTGAAGTGCCTTTTGAGTTGACCAAATGCATGCTCAACATCGCTTTGAACGGCTTTTGAAACCTTTGAACGGGTGAAATTAGCTTCGATGATTCGACGGATTCAAAATAGGCTTATAAAAAGAATTTTTCATTTCACTTTCAGCTATTTATGATTGTCAATAGGGAGCCTTGATCTGGAATCCGTAATCGAAGAACTCTTGATTCTGATTGAAAGTAGTCGGTCACCCAAATCTCGACCTCTTGCGCATTTTTAATTCGCAAGGAAATGTTGCATTGATCTGAACAGATGAAAATCAGATGGTGATAAGTTTAGACTATATGGCGATATAAGACCTTCCACCCTAATTCCTCTAACTCCATTCAAGAAGCTTTCGCTGTGTGAGCTGGCGTATTGTCACGGAGAAAATTGACAGTCGATGGATTTAAACCCTTTTGACGCAAAATTTGGTTAACCTTCTTGAGTTGTTGAATAAAACATGAATCAACTGTTTTTCCGGGCTCTAATAATTCGAAATAAACAAGTCCGTTGATATTCCACCAGCAAGACAACATCACTTTGCACCCATGATAATCCATGATAATTGGAGTTGGAATTGGCATTTGACCTTGCTGAACCATTGTCTTTCTCGAGAAGTGTTATCAAAATGAATCCACTTCTCGTCAGATATTCTCAAAAAATGACTTCTTTTCGACTTGAGAAGCAAGATAGGGCTGATCGAAACGCGTGTTCCCAGATTCTCGGTGCTCAATTCATTTAGAACCCATTATTCATTACGATTGGTCTTTCCGATTATTTCCAAATGGCGGGCAATTATTGATTGATCACATTGGAGATGTTTGCGTTTTGTTTGCATATTTGCTCTCGTATTTTTTGCATTGGATCGGCTTCAATAACGGCTTCAGTTTTTCCAATTTATTATTATTGATCGCTGCCGAGCGATGCTCATGTGGTTCGTCTTCAAGAGATTTAAAACCTTCTCGGAATCGGGTAAACCAGAGCTGGCAGGATCTTTTGGCCATAACTTGTTCTCCAAAAGCGGAACAGAGATCACGATGTGATCCGACAACGTTTTGCCTATCTTGAAATCGCACAACATATGTACTTTTGATCCACCATGATCTAAAGCAAATATCAATTAAAAAGTGAAAGCTCTAACTTAGAAAAAGCGTAAAAATAAAGTAAATCTCCAAGAATATAAATATAAAAAAGTAAAGCAATAAGATTTTCAGAAATAGAACGTTTTATATCAACTGAAATTTCTTTTGCACCATCTATTAGGAGTTATTAACAAGATCCGAAGGTCCGTCTCTCCACAAAATCACAATTCTCCACATTTCCTCGTCTCTTATCAGTACTCTTATCATTTTCTATGTATTCAGAACTATTTTTGAACTTTTTAAGCTTTAGATTAAACACACAAGAATCAGAATGTTAATTTGTTTGAATTAATTATTATTTGACCTGCGTCATGAGGAGAATTTCGGCTCGTGACACTTCGCTTTTGTTTTGTCGCTAAACAAAGTTTCATTTTTGTTTTCTTTCTAATGTCAATTTATGAAAATGCATGAAGTTGTTAGCTATTGAGCTATTTTAGCTTGAGTTTTTAGCAAGCACTCAAAGCAAGCATTGAAAGCAAGCATTGAAAGCAAGCATTGAAAGCAAGCACTCCAAACAAGCATTGAAAGCAAGCATTGAAAGCAAGCACTCGAAGCAAGCATTGAAAGCAAGCATTGAAAGCAAGCATTGAAAGCAAGCACTCGAAGCAAGCATTGAAAGCAAGCATTGAAAGCAAGCACTCAAAGCAAGCACTCAAAGCAAGCACCCAAAGCAAGCATTCAAAGCAAGCATTCAAAGCAAGCATTCAAAGCAAGCATTCAAAGCAAGCATCCAAATCTTAGATTAATTCTAAACACAAGCTTAGCAAACCTTTAGAAAGTCGCCAAGAAAACAATAAAGATTTACGTGTTAGAAAACAATAGGGATCTCAAAATGTTCTCACTTTTCTGTTCTTTTTCAAATTGAAATACGTGACAACATCGAGTGACGGCATAAGAAAATAGGGAAAATATGATATATAAATCCCGATGGCCAACCATAAATCAAGCGGTAAAATCGGGAATAGAAAGGCTGGCAGTTGGTGTATGCCGTATTTAACGATCAATGGGATGAACCATTGCACAAAAGGGTATTTCAAGCTCAAATAGTAGTAGCATCCATTAAAAGAAACGGCAAAAAAGCGACTAAAATTTTGGGGTTTTTAGAAAAACTTTTTTCAATTTTTCAAATTGTTTTCAATCACTTGATCGAGATCATCATTTGGAAAAAGAGCGGCAAATCCGAGAAATGAGTGAGTAGATACGTGGCGAGAAAGTTGTAGACGGAGGGGAAAACTCGGGGACAGCTGGGAAAAACACTGAAATACTGAGATTTCCGTAAATCAAACCTCAAAAACACTGGAGAATAGGGATCTACACATAGAAATCCGAGCTCGCTGATCATGTTGTACAGGGATTTGCACACAAGTTCACTGATTGCAAAGAGACTAAACGATGGGAAAGGTTCGAAGCGAATAGGGCGTAAGAAATATCTTCTTATGTTATGTTCTATCTTCTTATGTTAAACTTAAAATTGTCGTGAAAAGAAGAGTTTTTTTTTATCAGCGCATCAATGATTGATTCAGAGCCCATATGCTACAATCGGGAGAATTTATCTGGCGGGATTTTTCCCCCGACATTTCCCAAGCCCAGCTACACAAGGGAATATTGAGTAGAAAATAGATTGAGCAGGAAATAGATTGCCAAGACGTTAATCGGACTATGCGTGTGTGTTCTAGCTAGATCTAGAGCTAGTTCTAAATCGTGAGCAATTCTAGATCATTAAGCAATTCTAGATTATTAAGCAATTCTAGATCGTTAAGCAATTCTAGTAATGCAAGTGGATTCCCCGGGCCAGAAAAGTTAGCTCTTTTGTTCTCATCAATCTGCATCAAAAAAAACTGGAATTCTGTTTGAAAATCACCGAATCGGAAACGTTAAGCAATCATTTTTGAGCAAGAAATAGATTGCCAGGACGTTAATCGGAAGAGATGCCAATAAAAGCTGAAATTTCAAAAAATATTAAACAAAGGACACCGTTGACTGTACCGTGATCGTCGCCAACGATTCCCGGCTAATAATCCGTGTCTGCAGTTCAAAGGATATATCGAGTTTACCATCAAATGCTGCTCTGGCATCAATGGTGGTCACAGCAAGAATGGTCAAAGCGTGGTATGAGCCTGAATGCATCAAAGCCTGAATGCATCAAAGCCTGAATACATCAAACACCCCCACTTTTCTGTAGATTTTTGAGTTCTTACTTTGATAAAGATCTATAAAAAAATTTACCAACAAGTGCTATCTCCAATAGAATCACTTTGAAGAAGTCAAAATAGGCAAACAAATCAAAAACAGGGTTACTCATCATAAATGGGGGACTAGTTTCAATGAAACACAGCGAAAAGAATGAACAAAGTTTTGCTTTTTTTTGTAATTTCGCTCGATAAATTGATTAATCTCTAGCTTACACTTGGCCGATAACTCAATTTGGACTAAGATAAACGAATATTTCAAACGAATCTTTGGTTTTTTTGAAACAAGATCAAATGAAAGATCAAATGAAAAGATCAAATGAAAAATTAAACGAAAAATCAAATGACAAATTATCGTATTCTTTCTAATAGTAGCCTAAGCTTTGCCTAAATTCCTCGAAATCTCGAGAACCGCTTATCAGAACCTATCGATGTGGGGTCGGAAAATGTAGCTGGCGATAAGATCTAGTTGGTTGTTAAAGTGATCTTGTGAACTTGCCAGCGTGAACTTGTCAGCGTGATTGGAACCCTCGCCCATCCGCTTAAGAGACAAAACTCCTTAACGGATCGGCCAGCTGGCCAAGTACCGTATTCTCTCTAATAGTCTCTCTAAAATCTAGTTTACATAAAATATAAACACTCATCGTTGATGAATTACAATAGCTAGAAAAAGAGTTGTTCTTTTTGTTGTTGTCGTGTTCCCGCCCAAATCCCCAGCGGAAAAGGAACGATAGTGAGTGATCCTTTTCCGTTGGTCTCTCCAAAAAAACATCTTATTAAACTACCAGCAAACTTTTAAACTGTTTATAATCATTTACATCATAAATATTTGAAAACAAGCCATTTCATGGCAAACTGATTGCAACAGCATTCAACCACGCATTTCCAATCAGCTAAAAGAAAACAGAAGATCAGAGGAGGTTGACAAGAGGAGGTTGACAAGAGGAGGTTGACAAGAGGAGGTTGATCAGAGGAGGCTGACAAGAGGAAGTTGACAAGAGGAGGTTGACAAGAGGAGGCTGATCAGAGGAGGCTGACAAGAGGAAGTTGACAAGAGGAGGTTGACAAGAGGAGGTTGATCAGAGGAAGTTGACCAGAGGAAGTTGGCAAGAGGAAGTTGACAAGAGGAGGTTGACAAGAGGAGGTTGACCAGAGGAAGTTGGCAAGAGGAGGTTGACAAGAGGAGGTTGAATTATATTAGCTTCTACACTACACAGGCTTCTATTAGAATAAAAAAGATAATACCAATTTTACTCTTTTATGACAAAATTTCTTCAAAGAGATTAGAGCAAAAAAAAGGTTTTTTTTTAAACTTTATTGAAAAAAGAAGAAACATTTAAAGGTCTCCTTTAGCTAATGATCCGTTACTGATCCCGTTTTCTAACATTTACAGTGACAGAAGCCGGTGATACGGTGAACCATCCAGAATGATCAAGTTTTTTCTAAAAAGACAAAATGCTAAATGGTTTAATGTGCTAACAAACCTCGGTTTTCGGTCCACAAATCAGTTCATACTCGCGAAGGATTCTCGCTAAGGCGATTTTTTGCTCGATATACGCCAATCTCATGCCTAAATACTTGCAGTTTATGTTCGAATTTCCTTAGAATTAGAATTCCCTTAGAATTCCCTTAGAATTCACTTAGAATTCACTTAGAATTCACTTAGAATCCCTTAGAATTAGAATTCCCTTAGAATTCCCTTAGAATTCCCTTAGAATCCCTTAGAATTCGAATTCCTCACCAACACATTGTCGTGGGCCGGCGCCGAAAGCAAGATAGGCATCTTTTGATTAGGCGTTAGATCGAGCCACCTGAAAACATTGGGATCTTGTTTTATTTTTTCTTGTTTGTTGAAATGAAATGAGAAGCCCGTGAAGGCTTTGAAGGCTTTGAAGCTTGAAGCTAGCTAACAACAGAACCTTGCCAAGTTATCCGCGAGTTACAATATGAGGTACACTACTGGACAATGAAATATGATATTTGAAAAAAGATCTTCACTTTCGCGCGTCTGTAACTCCCTTGTCTTTACCGTATTTCTAAAGAAAAATATTATCATTGTGTAGCCCTTGACAAGAGCTTTCAGAAAATGTATAACACTAATAGTTTAAACTCAAAGACAAGGGAGTTACAGACGCGCGAAAGTGACGATTGTTTTTCAAATATCATATTTCATTGTCCGGTACTGTATGTCATTTTCCTTCTACCTATCCGGTTTGAATTCTTCTGCATCAGCGCCCCAGATCTCTTTGTCTCGTTGAATCGAATAGGAATCTACCTATAAAAAGGTCGGTTGCTCATTGTTCTTCTTCTTTTTCTTCTTCTTCTTCTTCTTCTTTAATGCTATAAGAGTTTTTCTGTGCAATTGTGTTCTACCTGAACTTTATCCCCTTTCTTCAATCGAATGCCCGCGATTTCTAGATCTTGCCCAGCAACCCTGCCAACAACACTGAAATTTAAGATTCGATGGAGTTGAAGATACGATTTCTTCATAATATTTGTGCTGTGTGTATTACAAGG